TTTTGACTTAAATCATCATAGATTATTTTTGGTTGGTAAGATTATTGATGGAATATTTTGTGTTTGTCTTCTTTCACAAAGTATTTTGTTAATAAGATTCATCAGTGTTTTTGCACGTAATAGTAATTTGCCCATTTTTATTTTATTTTATTACATTACACACATGAATTTAATACAACTTATCCATTTTACTGTAGAACAAGTATTTTCTTTTTGTGTCTGTTCTGACACTTTTCTCTCAGTGAACATATATATTCATTTCTGTAGGGTATATAACTGTGAGTGGTCAAGGTTATATTATATTGGCCCACAGGTAATGGATATTACTAAATATTTTCTCCCTTCTGTGTACACGGGTACTTTCCTGTCAGTAATGTGTAAGAGTTCCCTTCTCTCTACAACATTTGACGGTGTTAGGTTTTTTAAAAGTTAATGTTTCTGCTGGTGTGGTGTTATATTAAATGTTTTACTTTAACTTCCATGCTGACTAATCAAACTGAGGCATCTTTGCATTTTATTCTATACACCAGCCTTTAAGGTAATAATCAAGTTACGTCAATGAAGAGAATGGAAAACAGTTATTGAATAGGCAGTTAACATTACCCGTCAGTCCCTTAAAGTTTTAAGGTATGATCTAAGTACCTTCTCTCTTATCCCCAGTTAAATCCTTTCCTCAACTAAATCTCCCTATTAAGATCACTGTTGTTCCAGTCTCTCTTTATACTCTTTCTTTCTGAGAATCTGTATAAGTATAATTTAATGTCAAATCATGCAGCTGGCACCCTCAGGCTAATTGAATAAGCTAACAGTCTTCAGAATCTATGCGTTCTTGAGGCTCTGTCAACTCTATATGTTTGCTTGGCTGACATGGTCATGGAGGTAGCATTTTTACTTACCAGCTGAGATCTATTTGGCCAGTGTTTGTTTTCAGATTATGCTGGCTTTGATACTTGTTAAAGCCTAATCATTCATGTTGCTTTATTGAGGGCTTCTTGCTTTTGCTGTAGGCTTTCAGCATCCGGACCATACAGCAAGTTACTCAGCCTCTGCACATGCTGCTTCTATAAAAAGATACTTTTCTATAGTTGAACCACTGTGAGCTGTACTATAGATGTGCAAAACACTGAAAAGCATCACCAAAGTTAAAGTTTCCCACCCTGTGAGCACCAGAAATCTTAGTAACATCACAGATATTTTGATTTATGAAAAGAGAATTCCAAATTAAGCTTGCCATTTTTTTGTAGGGATTTATTCCAGAATTTATGGGTTATGTAACAAAAACTATCATTCTGGCAAAATTCTACCTAATGTCCTGAAGTTCAAACATTTGTGGGCATAATTTAGACAATGTAACATTTAGCCTTATTTAGTTATACTGGTTGATTGATTTTTACATTATGCCAGAGCAATAATTCACTACGTTTTACAACCTTCCAGCTTTGGATAGAGGTGTCACACCAAACTTCCACAGGGTTGAAATTAAAAATACGAGTACAGATACTGAACACAACATTGAAACAGAGACCTAGAGGATGTTTCTAACTCTAGACATTATTGGATTAATAAGGTGGCTCATGGAAGACATTCAGGGAGCCCACAGGAAGCAACCAAGGAAGTCAGATCTGGAGAGTATAAGGGAAGTTTTGGTCATGAGATAGTTATTAACCAGTATCACTATGTAATATTTCACATTTTATTCACTCATTGCATTTGAACTTAATGTCACCTCTGACCCTAACATATTTCAGCTCCATGTCCTGGTAACAGTTTTCACATGAGTTTTGTCAGTAGAAGTGGAAACTGTCAGACGCTCCCATTTGTATTAGTCATTATGGGCTAGACAGTGCTGTGGGATAATCTCAAAATCTCAGTGATATAGAACAATTCATTCATACTTTATGTCCTTCAACAGTTAACAGGGTTCTTTATCTGAGGTCACAGGCTGATGGACCTCCAACGTAAAGCACATTACCAGTCACTGTGGCAGGGTTAAAGAGCACGGTGACTACAGCACTGCATTTACAATCATCTCACATCCATTTAACTTATATTTTACTGATAAAGACAAATCTAAGCTTGCCAAGGACAGTGTAAAATTCAAGGGAGAAGTAAAAACCAGAAATACTTACTACCAAATAATGGAAAGTGGCCTAGGAAATCTTACTTCTCAACGATTCAAAAAATAAAAATTATCCTCCCTTTCTATCATCCAAGTAAAAATCTTTGCATAGGCAACAGGTGGAGTTTTCCAGAATAACTTGTGTCTCATCCTCATTCTTTAACTTAGAATGAACAAATGTGGTTAGGAAGTAGGAAAAGAATTAAGGTATTGTCAACCCCAACAAAGATAACACTAGGCAGACAAAAACAACAATTGTCCATCACACCTGTTAACATAGATACCAAAACATATGATCACATAATTCTGTCAAATTTCTTGGGCATTTTAGATTCTCCTGAGCCTAAAGCAAATAAATAACAGTTAACATTTTTTTGCCATTATCTGAAAGTGACGATACACTTCAAGGGGCTCTTCCTTGTACTATAAGCTTTTTTAAAATATGTTTTATTTTGCTCTTTTTGCTTGTGGAGGTGGTACGATTTTGGTTTCAAATGGCTTATTATTTATCTGTTTATCTATTTTTATAATATGAATAATATTTTTGCATTATATATTTTAAACATTAGCTGCTTCTAGATTGTTAGTACTAAAAATAGTACTTGATTGTTTTTCAGCTGTCAGGAAAAAAAATAGTAATTTTAACTCTTTTACCCCTGCCTGATTTCTTTAAAAACCGAAGTGATATTGTTGCTATTGATTTAAAAAAGACATAGAATAATGCCGTAGTCTAGGGAAACTCGCATTTGTGACATACTGATGTGACTCTGATAAAATGAAGCTATGTCAGTTGGAGAGGTGTTTGCTGAAACTCTGAGGCATATTATCACGTGGAGGAAGTGGAAACAGGGGAAGCATCATTAGCTTTATCAATGGATTTTCAATGTGGATTACATTAGCCTATATTGGGTTAAATAAAAGATGCTCAGATAAACATATATCAGCAAAGACAGAAAGAAATTGCTTGGTCAGGAAGCTTTCAAAGATTCAACAATACTGCTTGTTGGAAATCCTTTTGAGCCATTAAAGCTTTAAGTCCTTTTTACTATTAATACTTTTGGCTGATTAAGCAAAATTGACTTAAAAATGGGTTTCTCAGAATCTGTGAAAGAGAATTCCCTTTTCATTCTATAAGTTGATGTAGACCATATCATATTTCAGGAATTCTGATAGTTAAGAATGGCTGAGTTAAGAACGGTACTGAGTGCATGATATATGTGTTGAAAAAAATAAAGAAAAGCAGAGTGAACTGGAGAAGTTATCAGAAACCTTAATGCCTTTTGGGGGTTATTGAGAAGTAGGTCTCATCCTTAAAAGTGTGAAATATATATAGTATTCAAAATTGACCATTAAATTGATTTAATTAGTGCTAAAAGCAAAGTAAATACATGCATACATAATCTTATTTGGCCTCTAGGTAGACACGGCATATTAAGCATAAGAATGTAATACTTATAGCAGCTAGGATTATTGGTTTAGAATTGTCATTTCCCTCTATTAGTGCACAGCATCCCTTACAGATGGCCTCATAGTCATGCAACTTGATTTCACAATGTGACATGAATATACTTGGCAAGAGTAGAGTTTTGACTTGTTTTCACGTGTACCTGTCATTACTTCTTCATTACAAGGGACACTTTGAGTTTCACAGAGTAGAAACAGCTCTCAGACAATAGATGAGCCCCTCAAATTACCCACAGAGGTGTGCATAAAAAATAAATACACAGTTGCCATTGTGAATTGTTACTCAAGAAATGTTGACTGACCCACACCTCCACCTCTATTTTTTTCTGATATATTATAAAAATGATGGTAAGGAATAAAAATGAAAGTCTAGACCTACATATGCAAAAAGAATCAGAGAAAATATTATCAACTTTTTAAGAAGCATGAAAACATATTAATAATAGCCAGAGACTCCAAAGAGCAGAGGAAATAAAAACTAAGAACTTGGTAATGAGAAAGTAAAAAGAAAGATATTTTGCACGCTGGTAGCCTGAAAGTTTTCGCAGGTTGAAATTCAAATTTTTTGCTAAAGATGGAAGCTCAGATGAAGCTGAAAAGCAAATGTTGCATGGAAAGTCTTTAAGAAAAACAGTCAGATTTCTAGATCTCTTTCACTATCCCAAATAATCAGTCAGATACTCCTTGACCACTTGGCAGTAGATTCAGTAGCTTTAACCAAAGGAATTGACAATGATAGGAGAAATGAGTAAAATGATTAAAGGAAAAAAATGGTATTCCACTAAAGAAGAGAACTGTTTCTAAAAGAAAGGAGTGTTGAACAATGTCCTATGCTGTGCAGAGGTCAAGCAAGTTGAGGACTGAAAAGTGTCCTCTGGGTTTATTTAATGTTGGCTCTTTGTAACCAGCAGTTTTTTTAGTGAGATCGAAGTGGAATTCACCTTGAGGTAATTTTTACAGTGAATTAGATTGAGGAAGTGAATACAGTGACTGGTTTGAGGCCCTTCCTGAAGCTTCCAAACACAGGGAGAATAGAGAAGCTGTGTCGCCTTGAGAGAACCAGAGAGTCAGAGTGTTTCTTACTTATTTATTTGTTTTTATTTAAAAAAAGTACATTTAAATGTACATCTCAGTACATTTAAATGTTGAAGGACAGGAGAGAGTAGAGAGAGAAACTTCTGATGCAAGAAGGAAAAGGAGAAAACTATTCATCAGTTCCCTCTTTTTTGATTTCCATTTTTTAGGGGAAAGTCTTTCAATGTGATTCCTTTAATTTGCTGATAAAAATCCTGCTTTTTGGTAATTTATTGAAAATAAAATTAAATTAGGTGAAAATTTTAATTTGCTTTTTTTTAGCTAATATTTCAAATGTATTTTTTGTTGTTTTGTGATTAACCGATTTTCCTTTACTTTGCAGAATATTTCTACAAGTACCCTATCCATAAGAGAGACGGTGGATACTCCATCTGCAGGTTTCCAGCCTTATGCCTCTGTGTGTAGAATTGAGACTCCCAGAACTGTGACTCTCTTTGTCTCAGAGCTTTTCCCAAACATTAGTGTTTGTGCTCCAAAAGGGACAGGCCAACAAATTAACACTTAGCACCCCCATCCCTAAACCAAGACTGACAGAAGTTGATATGTAATTTCCTCAATTTATTGGTAATTATAGTCATATAACATTGAGCCAGGTGTTTTAAACACTTTTCCAGGCAGAATTAAGCCTTAGTCACTTGCAGCTGTAATTAGCTTGATAACACACCTATCCTTACATTTCCTTACTCCTATATCAGCTTTTGTTATACTTTTCAAATAAAATACCTGAGCTAGCATCCTTGTCTTAGGGTCTATTCCTTGAGTAGCTACATTTTCTTGATTTTTTTTTCTGAATACTATTATAATATTTGACCTTGATTTTAAGGGTATAAATAAATATGATAAATGTATTTAATAGATCAGCAATACTATAACCTAAAAAGCTTAGATAGAGAAATGGACCAGTGGATACTCTAGAATTTATCTTTGAGCTATGGAGTGTGTGTGCATATGTGTGTGTGTGTGTGTGTGTGTGTGAAGTCATTTACTGCCAATCAGTCAATATACTGATTAACTTGATTGGCTTATCCAGTTGTAGGAAAACCCGGTTTGCTTCTTTTTAACAAACATACTGTCAAGTTAGAGACAACCCTACATTTTTCTGTCTTGCATAGATACCACAAGGACCTTGCAGCTTTTTCTTTCACTATTCTAAATGGCAACTGACTACAGCAGTAGAAGTGTGTGCTCACAACATATTCCATGTGTCATCTCTATCACCTGCCTTTGCTGCCTCCAAATTAGGTGACAATAATGATGTTTATTTGGCATCCCTTGTGGACATATTGCTTTCTTTTAATCGAAAGTTATAATTAAGTTCAGAGAACCTTCCTGCAAACTTGTCCTGTGTGTATTAGGTCTTATATATATTCTTTACAACTTATGAAATGCAAGCACTAGTCTTTCTTAGCTCTACATAGCTCTATAGAATTTAATTTTCCTTAATTTATTCTAAAATTGTAAAAATTAATTGGGAGTCTTTGATTGAAATTTATGTAATTTGGGTTTGCACAAACAGAAATTGGAGGATCTCAGAGAAAGCAAGAGCAGAAAACTAAAGAGGCATAAATTTAGAAAATCATGCCATACATGACAAAGTGTTAAATGAACCACATTAGCTGTGGTTGAACATATAAAGCTGAGAACAAATCATGGAAATCCTTAAATGGAATGGTAAGTAATTTGGACTTAGCCAACTAGAGATGAAAAAGCCTCAGAAATTTTGGAGTAGAACAGTCATGAAGAGTAGCTTTAGACATAATAGGCAGACAACTAAGCCTATTTGGAAATATAAGGTAAGATTGGAAAATAATTTTAGTACTTTTAAAATAGGCTTTGTAAGATAAAATGTTTCCTAAAACCAAATTATTGACTTGGGAATAAACATGACATATTGTTTCTAAAGTAAAGCTTGCACTTAGTCAACTGTTTAACAGCCTTTAATCCAGAATGATTGGTAGCAATAGGCTGCAAGGTCCCTTTGGTGCCTCTGTGAAACAGAAAGATACAAGGATTTCTGTGGTCTGACAAGAAGTAAATCAGAAAGTTGTACATTGGGCTTTATTACTATATTTACCAGCTGATGTTTGGAAATCACTCAATAAATGCAATTACCTTTTATAATGTTCAGCAATCATTTCAATATGTGAGCTACGACCTGCTGTAGTGTTTAAGAACACAGACTGCATTAGAGAATCTAATCTTCTAGCTAGTCATGTAAAAATTACTTTCCTGAACTTCATTTCCTTTATCTTTTAACAGGAACAATAAGCATATATCACAGAATTATCACAAAGATTAAAATAAAAAAATTCACTTCAGGCATTTGGTAAAGTCCATTTTACCTGGCAAGAACTCAATTCACCTTGATAATAGTGATGAAGTTGATCATGATGATAATCATTATAGTGATGATACTGTAAGTGAATTCTGGGGATGGGGGGAGGCTCAGCTCCCAAGCTAGGATGTTCTCTTCCAGGATCTTGGTCTCACTCATCTAAGAATGGGATAGGGGCAAGTGATTAAATAAATATGGGACCCCAAAGAGTTCTGCAGAAAGTGATGTATTTAGGCAGAGAAAGAGAAAAAGGAGAGAGAAAAAGATGAGAGAGTGAAACCTCCACAATATTGTGGAAGGGGATCCAGATATGGAGTACACCTGGATGTTGGGGACAGGGAATTTTAACCTCGGAGAAATTCCCGCCCCCTTTGGGTTTTCTGAGCCTACGAAAGGAATTCCTTTAAGCTTCCACTGGAGTGATTGATCTTTGATTTTTCCCGTGAGTGCAAAAGTTAAAAGACCTCTAAGATACCGGATGGAGAGGTGGCATGGAGGTGGTGGGGGAGGCATGGTGCTGAGAAGTTCTTGTCTTTGAAACTACGCCCCCTTGTGGACCTGGGAACAGAATACATTCTCTCAATACTGTGGATGATGGTATTGATCATGAAGATATTTATAATAATGTCAATAATGATCAAACATATTTATAATGATGTCAGTGAAGATCATTTTTATTTTCTCTTTAATTGGATAAAATGTCCAATCATGAAGGGATAAACAGAATATTACTCTTTGAACCAACTGCAAATAGCACAATTATGGACCTCTCACTATACCCTTCTTATGTGGTGATATGGTTAGGCTTTGTGTCCCCACCCAGATCTCATCTTGAATTATAATCCCCATAATCCCCCTACCCCCACTTGTCAAGGGAGAGACCAGGTATAGGCCATTGAATCATGGGGTCAGTTTCCCCCATGCTGTTCTTATGATGTGAGTGAGTTCTCACAAGGTCTGATGGTTTTATAAGGTCTCTTCCCCTTCACTTGGCATTTCTCCTTCTTGCCACCTTGTGAAGAAGGTGCCTTGCTTCCCCTTTGCCTTCTGTCAGGATTGTAAGTTTCCTGAGGCCATGCTGAACTGTGGGCCAATTAAACCTAATTCCATTATAAATTACCCAGTCTCTGGCAGTTCTTTACAGCAGTATGAAAATGGACTAATACATGAGGCTAAGTAATTCAACAGAACGCAAATAGTTTTGACACGCCACATTTCTTATTCTTAAGGGATGAAGAAATCTTTTCCACTAATATAATCACGCTTCACCAGAGCAGTTTTACAAGCACCACATCTACTACACACTGGTAGCAGGAAATGTAATATTCTAAAACATATATTTAATCTTTGTCTGTCCTTAATTATGATTAATTTGAAAAACCTGGTCACTGGTCACTGTATTATATCCAACATAATTGAGGACAGACATGTATTATATTGAGGATATTTTTATGTGCATTTAAATATATATTTCTTTGAACAAATTACCAATATTCTTCAGTCATTCTTATATTTCTTCTTGAATGATACAAACTTTCCTGTCACCTTTAGACACCTTTTAGAATTCATGTCAAAGTTTTTCATGGTAGCTATGGTTTTTAGTACTTTTATAATTAGAAAGTTTATGAGGGTGGAATGGCCTATTATTCTCTACTGATTTGTTTGAAATTTGTTCTGACTTTAAAAGGTAGAACTTTCAAAGTTAATGAACATTATAGACAGGTATTATAAACAGAATGTTAATAAGAACTAATAATTAAACCAAATAGGTCTTTTTTATGTTTAAAATCATCAAATAAATGTGCCTGCATTCGTATTATTTCCATCTATTTTACTTTGTTTTGTATTGCTATAACAGAATACCACTGGAAGGGTCAGGGTCCCGGGGCGCACATCTGGTAAGGGCCTTCTTGCAGTGTCATCCCATGAGGAAAGGCAGAGGGTAAGAAAGCATGAGAGAGCAAGAGAGGGTCTGACTCACATTTATAACTACCCACTCTCATGATGAGAGTTGGGCCCCTTCTGTGATAATATTAATCCATTCATGAGGGCAGAACCCTCCTAGCCTGATCACCTCTTAATAGGCCCATCTTTTTTTTTTTTTTTTTGAGATGGAATCTCACTTTGTCACCAGGCTAGAGTGCAATGGCATGATCTCAGCTCACTGCAACCTCTGCCTCCTGGGTTCAAGTGATTCTCCTTCCTCAGCCTCCTTAGTAGCTGGGACTACAGGTACATGCAACCATGCCCAGCTAATTTTTATATTTTTAGTAGAGAAAGGGTTTCACCATGTTGGCCAAGATGGTCTTGATCTCCTGACTGCGTGATCTGCCTGCCTCCACTTCCCAAAGTGCTAGGATTACAGGCGTGAGCCACTGTGCCCAGCCAATAGTCCCACCTTTTAACAACATCACAATAGCAATTAAATTTCAACATGAGTTTTAGAGGGAACATTCAAATTGTAGTACCTTCAATGCAAGCAACAGAATAGTGTACTCCATCTAATTTATTGAGTATAAGTTTTAGTTTTAGGAAATTATTTACCTTATCAGAAACTATTTCCAGAGGTTTATATATCCATTGCCTCAGTAACAAAATAATAGCTACTTAGAATTGTGTGTGTATTTATAGAAAGAGTATTTTATTTTAATGGAACCATACAGCTTTCCAGTAATACTGATTATTTTCCAAAATGAGGGCAAGTGATTGCACCTTTCTAATGCATTATCTTTATTGAATTTAAAGCACCATCTCGCTTTACTCCTAATAAAATACATTGATTACATATACTATATTTCTTAATGTTAATACTTAAATCTAAATCATATCTGAGTTTATTATGACCGTCTGTCTAGGAAGATCACCTGTGATGTATTGAGTAATGGCTATTACCATACACTTTAGTTTCCTAATGCATCATATAATTTGTTTAGATGTATATTGCTGGAATTGATTTGAAGGTAGCCTAATACATTTTTCACTTATTTTCTCACTTATGCCTGTGCTCTTTTGCACCACATAATGTTTTAAATTAGTAACTTGAAGTCATTTCATTGAATGATATTACATCTATAGTGCATCCGGAAAGGCAAGGTTATTGTCTCTAAATTCATAATTATTGCACCAATGGAAATTTTAATCTAAAGGAAAACGCCTTCTAGTAATTGAACCTAGTTTTAAAGTACCTTTTCAAAAGCTTTTATCTATAAATTTACACACACCTGCTTCACGTTAAAATGCCCAAGGGATGGAATTTTGAATAAAGACAGCAAAATAATTAAGTTATACTTCAGGTTAATTGTTTTCTGAGAAATTATTACTAGGACTTACATTTATACCTATTCATATTGTCCACAAAAATAACTGTGATCCTTGTTAAAAATGTGTAAACAGAAAA